TTGCACAAGAGCCGGCGTCCGGTGGGATGAGCTTAAAATTTTCTGCGAAATGCTGCACTTTTTGCAGTGATTTCTTAGGAAGAGCTGCTGTTCCCCATCCGTCTCGATCACCTACAGCTTCTGAGCCCTGTAGCTGTGTGTACGTGCGTGTTGCCGACTTCTTTAGGTTTTTTTTTGGGGAAAGCAATCTGGAAATCTCGGTTACTTTTCGAAGCGATGCTCGTGTTACACCTCGTTTGATATGGGGGAGGGAAAAATAAACAAGAAAAACCCACAAACCAATGTTCCTACGGGGCTTTTTTAATGATATTTGTAATGCATTCTATGGATCTGCATGGATTTTATTGGAACGGCGGCAGCGTGTCGAGTAGGATGTTCCTGGTGATCCTGTCGCTGGGCCAGCACCTTAAAACCTGGTTGGGATTTGAGCTTCCAGGAGAGTTATGGCAGCGCCGGGTTGGCTGTGCCTCCCTTTTCTTGTGAAATTTCTTTCAATCCATCATTGTTTTCAGCACATCTTGCCATAAAACTGATTTATGCCTGAGGGGGAGTAGGACACGACATGTGTTGGGGTGTATGTGGGGGGGGTTTTCCTTCATTTTGTATCCCAATCCATCCATCCCAGCTGCATGCAGAGTGGTGGTCGTCATGCCAGGCCTCGTGAAATGTTTGATACCGATGTTTTGCTACCATGTAAAGGCTGCAGAAACTGTCCTTAACCTGCATCCTAAAAGACTTTTGTATTTCAGTATTCTCTCTCTGTGTACTTTTTGTCAGATTTGTTAATATTTATAACGAGAACCCAAAATAAAAAGGGGAAAATAAAAATTAAAAAAAAGGTTGATGCTGGTGGTGCAGCTTTTGAGTCCCCCAGGTCGGTACCACGGTCCCGGGGACGCGTGAGCTTGGTGTGTCACAGCGCATCATCTCTGACGGAGCACCGAGCGACCCGAGATGTGAGATGAAGAGCTGGGACCTGGCGAGGGCTCAGGGAGCTGAAGATGGTTTTGAACCGGAGGATTGGCTGCTGCTTGGCTTTGTTCTCCACTCTCCAATATCTTGCTGCTGAAAAAAATAACAGCACTGGTGCCGTGTCCCCCACTTTCAGCGGGGACCCCGCGCTGCCCCTCAGGGTGCTGTGACATTTGCACGGGGACCGTACGCACCGGCGGTGGGGGGTGGAGGGAGATTAGTCAAGGGAGGATTAAAAAACCCATAAACCTCTGGCCTTTCTGACACCCCCATTAACTTCGTGCCACGTAAGGCGCTGCGCAGGGGCAGTACTGTTAGCAGGACGGCGGTCACGGTGCCCATGCAGTGCCAGGGGCTGGGCCAGGCCAGTCTCTGCCTGGATTTTGCCATTGTGGATGCCGTGACCATCCTCCCCGGGCACAGGTGCGGAGACCTCCTTCCCTGGGCTGGGAGTGGAAGTGCCACCCACCCCCGCGGCTCCTCCAGCTGCTCCGTTTAACGTGTTTTCCTCACTGTGGTTTTGGAGCGATGGGCTGCGTGTTGCCAGCGGGTCATGTTGCGGCAGGGCTGCTCACCGGCGCCAAAGGCCATCCCCTCCTCCGAGGCTGCGGATTCCCGTGGGACACCCTGATGGTGCCAGCACCCACCTCGCCCTTCGGCATCGCCGCACCTCGGCATCGCCGCACCTCGGCATCGCCGTGCCTCAGCCCGCGCCGTTGTGTTGAAATTAAAAACCTGCCGGCGGACTGCCTCAGGCTGCGGCACCGTGTGCCGGTGGCACGGCAGATGCTCGCGTCCCTGATTTGGCCCAGTTATGCACAAGTACGGCCCAACCTGAGCTTCCCTCCTAGACCTATAGATGGACAGACATACACCCTTGATCATGTATATATCTGTCCCCTACACCAATACAAATATATAACTCCACACGCATTATATATACATAGATACTCATGTATATGTGTGCATATATATTCTTGTGTATGTGTGAATGAGTTAATTAAGTATATGCTTGTGTCTGTTCATATATTTTTAAAAGATGAAAGCTTGGCGTTCTTCCATACCGTTCTTGCCCACTGACAAGGTGCAGGAGCCGCAGCGGCAGCAGGAGCTGGGCGAGTGTCCCCGGACACGCCACGTGCGGAGCGCATCAGGGCAGGGAGCACCGAGGGCCAACGGTCCCGCTCTGTGCTGGGGTGGCTGGTGCCACGCGATCAGTGCTGGCCCTGGCACTGCGGCAGCTGCCCAGGCAGAGCCCAGCCTGGCACACGGCGTTAATCCATCGGCCCCGTTTGATCAGCTCAGGGGAGCAGATTATCATCCCTGCGCCCCGCGGGGTGCGCAGCGTGGAGATCCCGGTGCGTGTGTGTCCAGCTGCCTGTGTAGTGACTGTATTTGTAGTGGTACCTCTGTGTGGGTATTTGTCTGCCTAAATATACAGCTGTGCACAGATAGCTTCATAAATAGGTACACATATATGCTTTTATAAGTGTATAAAGCCACTCGCTATATTTTATATGTAACTATTATAATACGCATATAAATATATACTTAATCTGTTTGTATAAAATATAGAGATAATATTGTGCAATTTATAATATATACTCTGTGTATATAAGTAACTCTCTACACACATACATTCACTTTTAGACATTATAGTATTACAATAAATGCTATATACATATATATATATAAAAAAAATTTTTAAATCTCTCCTCTACACAATATATATAGATATAGGTATTCATGTACACATAAATACATGCCTTCTTCTATATTCTATAACATA